AAAAAAAAAAAAAAAAATTACTAATAGCACCAGCCAAAAAATATTTTTTAAAAAGACTTCCTTTTTATTGTCGTGAACATCTTTCTTTACTTTGGATACTGGGAATCAAACTCAAGACCTTCTGTTTGCCAGGCAGGTGCTTATGCTGCTGAGCTATATCCATACCCCTCCTCCAGTCTCTTCAGGTTCTCTCTGGGCCTTCGCTTTCTCCTCCCTGCCACACCCTCCCAATGCTCGGGCTCCTCCATCTGGCAGCCAAGTCGGAGTCATGCTCTGTGTCCTCCACCGACCATTCTGCCCTGGCATCTCGCACCCCCTCGTCCTCCCACGCACTGGAGCTGGTGCTGTGACAAATGCTGAGGGCAAATCGGGCAGAGGCAGAGGACTGCCAGGAGAGGCAGGGGTAGCCACCACCTCCATTTCTCTCTCCTTGTCAGTCAGCTGAAGAGACACGGAATCCCCCTGAGGACAAAATACCAAAAAAGTTCCCAAGGATCACCCCCAGCCTCTTCCTGGGCTCCACTAAGACTTCTGTTTGTTTCACTGTTAGCTAACTGTAAAACCCATGTGCTGTGGAGATCAGACAGTTGCTTATAGTAGACCGGAGCCCCCAAAACTCCCTGGGGTGGTCGTGCAGATGGGTCCAACTAGATAGCAAGGTACCTACAACGTCACTGTCTATATGACCAAAAGAAAAAAGAAAAGAAACATTTGCTTGGGACTTTTAGATCTTGTACAGTTGATCTTTCCATTGGGCTGTGAACTTCATGCAGGATGCAATTCCTGTGGGTGCCCACAGCGCTCAGGAGAATCTTAAATGTAAAGTGACCCCAGTGACCATCTGCTGGAAGATGCACCTTGCAGTCTGCTGCAGGACTGGTGGGAATCTGTGGGAGGGGTCTTTCACATGAGCCATTTGGCTGGCGATTCTAAGCATTGAACAGTCTACCCTGAAAAGTTCATTTTTTATTTTTATTTTTTGGTTTTTTGTTTGGTTTGGTTTGGGTTTTTGTCTTTTTGAGACAGGGTCTCACTATGCAGTTCAGGCTGGCCTTGAACTCACTTTGTAGCCCAGGCTGGGCTTGAACTCGCAACGATCCTCCTGCCTCAGTCTCCCGAGTGCTGGGATTACAGGCGTAGACCACCATGCCCGGCTATTTTTTTGATACATGGTCTCACTGTCTGGCCAATACTGGCCCTGAACTCACAGCAATCCTCCTACCTCTGCCTCCCTAGGGCTGGAATTACAGGTATGCACCATGATGCCCAGGAAAGTTCATTTTAAAAATTGCACTAAATCAACAGAGTAGACAGATACGGTTTCCTCGTGATGAGGAAAGGCATTTCTTTCTTTCTTCTTTTTTTTTTTTTTTTAGGCTGGTCTTACAGTTGGCCTAGAACCCAGGAGGTAGCAGATCACTCTACAGGCTCTGGCCATCCAGAGTGAGGTGAGGACTCTTCAGAGGAGGAATCACATTAAGGCCAGAGGGAGGCTTGCTGGGAGAAGCAAAGTGCTACCGTGGTGGGTACTGTCGGCGGGATGGGTACTGTCGGCGGGATGGGTACTGTCGGCAGGTGAGGCCAGGAGGTTCGCATCTGTAGATCCCCACTCTGGAAGCACAACATCTGGATCTGGTCTTCAGCTCTGGAGAGGCCACTGTAGCGGTCTGGTAGCTTGAGAGTAGGGTTTAACAAGTATTAAACTTGTCACCACTTGAAACTGGACAACCAAGGATTTCAAGTTCTTCTCAATCTAGCCGTGGACTACAATGCCCAGGAATCTCCGCGGTGATTGACGGCTCCATCACCCAATAGACTGGGAGAGTTTCTAGTCATGGTAACAGAAAAACCAATAGGAAGGGGCTGGGGGCGGTATTTCCTGGCCTCTGGCAGAGGAACCTAGAGTCCCACCTGTGTTCCTACAACTCTATTACTAATCGCAGTCGGGTTCTGGGAGGGACGGGCTGGGCGCAGCGGATTAGGCGATGCGGGCTGGGCGGGGCTCAGCAGTGGAGGACTCTCACTTCCCGCCCCATCCCTGGCCGGGCCTGGGGCAGTGAGTGAGCGAGGGCGGGAGACCGCGGAGAGACCGTAGTCCAGGGGCTTGGCGGGGTGCGTGGCTCGGTCTATACAGCGAGCGGGGGACCGCGACCTCCTGGCTTCTCACAGTGGCTCTGGGCCCCAGCCCCTAGCGCCTCGAGGCTTCTGGGGTCGCCTGCACCCCAAAGAATTCTAAGGTTTGTCTGTCAATCGCGCTACCTCCAGCAAGTGGGCTCTGCCCTTGGGAGTTTCTGAGGAACGCAGACATAAAGTCTATACTCAGTCTTTTCTTAGATTTTTTTATTCCATAAAGCATTGTTTTATTTTTTAAAACTTTAAACGAGAGAAATGAAATGTGTTTTTACGGCTTTTTGAGGTCGTTGAACCCTCGATAAATGAGCAATAGCAATGTTGATTAGCACATAAAAATCTCCATGTAAAGTTTATGTGTAGGTCTAGGTGATAAGCAGGTGCTCTGACTGGTGTGATAAAAGATACAAAAGGCTGAAATCTCCCCTCCCTGGTTAATTCTCCCTCCAATGAGATGCAGAATTCTTTGTAAGTGGTAGTGATGTAGCAGGGTGACGTATTACTGTTTCCACTGAAAACATGTTTTTTCTAAAATTGTTTGTTTTTCTGTTTTTTGAGACAGGGTCTCACTATGTAGTTCAGGATGACCTGTGTAACCCAGGCTGGCTTCAAACTCCTGACAATCCTCCTGCCTCAGCCTCCTGAATGCTGGGATTACAGTCATTTGACCCTACACCCTGCATCACCAAAAGCTCTTTAAGAGAGAAGTATTATCATATTTTTTTTGTGACATCTAATGCCTTACAATGTATTAATTACTGAATGAATTGGTGATCCATCCAGTAATCAACTCTGACCATGCTCTCAAATATAATTGCTCACCTTCTGGTTTTCAGACACGGTGAATAGCTAGGGAGCTGTTGGTATGTATCGATGTCTCTTGTTTTAGGAACTGATGACCCTCAAGCATGTGGCTGGAGACTTCAGGGAAGAGTGGCTTACCTGGACACTACTTAGAGAATCTTTTTCAGGGATGTCACCAAACTCGGTTGGAAGAATGGGCTCTCAGAGGGTTAGGGTGCTTTTCTTATTTATTTGTTTGTTTATTTATTTTGAGACAGGGTCTCCCTATGTAGTCCAGGCTGGACTTGAACTCACTATGTTGCCCACCTGGCCTTGAACTCATGGCAATCCTCCTGCTCAGCCTCCCAAGCGCTGGGATTACAGGTATGCTCCTCCATACCCGGCAAGTTCTCAGGTCTGTGGGCATTGGTTTCTTAGGGCTCCAGGCCTATGTGAGATTAGCTCTTGCCTCCCAGACAGACAAAGATTGTCTCCCATCTTTATGGCACTCAATGGTCTTTGACATTTATTGCTTTCTTAATAGTTTACCATAACTCTGCGATGTCATGCTTCTCTTCCCCTTTTCCAGCTAATGAGCCTGACACTCAGAAGTTGCAAAGGTGAAAGTATAACCCAGGATCTGAGAACTGTCCCCATGGTGTTTTTCCCTGTCGCTTAAAAACAAACAAAAAAGACTTCCAGGCCCTTTGTACAATACTTAGGTGGGCTCGGAATGTATCTTAGTGGTAGAACACTTGCCTAGAATGCACAAGGCTCTGGGTTTATCCCCAGAACAAGCAATCAGTCAGTAAGTCCCAAGGCTCCCCTTACCTCTTTACTTCATATCTACTATACACATCATGTATCATTGAAATACAGTTTTAGGGGCTGGGGATTTAGCTCAGCGGCACAGCGCCTGCCTGGCAAGCTTGAGGTCATGAGTTTGATTCCTGGTACTGGAAAAAAAAAAAAAAAAGAAAGAAAGAAAAAAAAGAAATACAGTTTTATAATTTCCTTAGAATTCCCAAAGTTATAAATCTGGGTCAAAAGATACATTTCTAAGGGACTTGATACTTTGCCAAATGCTTCTAAATAGACTGAATCAATTGATTTGTTTCCATAAGCTGTAAATGCAGATGTCCATTTCTCCAAGTTTTACCTGTCATGGTGGATACTGTACTTTAAGAGTTTGGGTAAGGTAACAAGGATTGTTAAGGAGTTAGCACCATGTGCTAAGGAGTTACATTTAATCCTCACAACTGGTGGTAGACATTATTATTCCTATTTTATTGATGAAGACATTGAGATACAGAGTTTAAGTAACTTTTCTAAGGTCACACAGCTTTAAATGGTGGGAATTCAAATCTAGGCAATGTGACAATCAAGTTTGTATTCTTTCCCTCTATGCTGTATTGCTACATGTATTGTTGTCCTAAATTGAATTTCTTTGGTTAAAAGTGAGCTTAAATGTTTTTTATATATTTAGAAGCTGTTTGTATTTTTCTGTTTGTTTATTTATTTATTTATTTACTTTTCCTCCCCACACCCCTATTTATTTTTGAGAGAGCGTCTCACTATGTAGTCCAGGCTGGCCTTTAATCCACTATAGAGCCTGGGCTGGCCTTGAGCTCACAGCGATCCTCCTGCCTCAGCCTCCCGAGTGCTGGGATGACAGGTGTGCACCACCATGCCCAGCTTGTATTTTTCTCTTTCTCATCTCTCTATCACATGTTGTCCTTCTGGGAAAAATTTTAAGCCTGACCTTGTAGTTAACTTCCTTGATTCTTTCTCACGGTGAGGCCATGGGAGCTTTGTTTCCGATAAAATTACTTCTGTCCAAGTTTAGCCTGGTGCCTTCAGAAATGAGTTATGGTGCACCCAATGAGAAATGAGTTATGGCCTGTGTGTGTGTGTAAGTTGCCTTCTTACTGAACTCAGACCCACATGTGTGGTTGCCTATGTTCTCGACCCAGGGAGGTGAGACAGCTGGGCTCAGACTCACTGCCTCCATCTTTCGCTCACAGGGTCCCCAGAGCCAGAGCCAGCCCCCAGTTGGAGCAGCAGGAAGCACCATGGGTCCTGCCGCTCCAGAGCTTTGAGGCCAGGACAGTCCTGAGGGGAAGTCACCCAGGTAAGATGTGAGTGCTGCCTGGTGGGAGGAAGACACCTGGAATTTCAGCCCTTTTTTTTTTGTTTCAGCCCTTTTATAGATGAAGAATTTGGAATGGTTCCCTGATTTTTATTTTTACCAAAAAAAAAAAAAAAAAAAGAAAGAAAGAAAAAACATGCAAAATCTGTAACATGTAATGTGATGCCTGGCCCTTAAAAAGATACTCAATACAAGCTTAGTTGTTTTTAATCAGCTTTATTAATCAGTAAGGAATTTGTTAGTGTACCCACTCAAGTCCAGAATTTTCAAGAAAGTCAATTAGAACCAGAAGGTGTGGGGTCTAAACACATAGATTTAATAAGATGGAAAGTCTCCCCGTCTACCGCTGTGCAGGCATTAGTCACAGTTGTCTCAGCACCATGACGAAGCAGAATTAGCCTGAAGGATGTTGTGGTTTTGTGACTTAGAGGCTGGAAGAATCTCAGAAGCTCTGTGTACTTCAGTACATGGGAGGCAGGGATTATTCTGAAGGCCTGCTGTCATCAGAGGCACAGGAAGAATCCTGCGATGAACCAGCCAGGGGGATCTGGAGGAACATTATAAAATCCCGGAAGCAAAATTGCTGAGAATGTCAAATGATATCACAGGCTGCTTCCTGCCAGGAAGCAACTCGTTCGCTAATTTGCTGGATCAGTGTGCCCCTTTGGTTTTAGGTTAAACCAGCTCTGGACCTTTTAGAGCCATTCATTTTATGGGCCAGTACTTTCTTTTTTTCTATATTTAATTGAAATTGAAGGAAGTCAGTAGAGTATGTTTTGTTTTGTTTTGTTTTGTTTTTTTTTCCGGTACTGGGAATCGAACTCATGACCTTGCACTTGCCAGGCAGGTGCTATGCCGCTGAACTAAATCCCCAGCCCCATGTAGAGTATGTTGGAAAGGACACCTGCTTTCTTGAGAAGCAAAAATGCTTGAGTCCTGGTCTGACACTTCATTTTGCCAGACCCTCACCTTCTCTCAGCCCTAAGTGAGGTGATAGTGAGGACCTAAACACACACATGCTTTGTAGTTAAATTTTAAATGTAGTATCTCTAAAGTTTAATGTTATAGTATTATAGCTAAAATCTATTTCCTCAAGGTCTGGCTTTTTCTTCAGGTGTCCCATATTCTCCTACAATGAGGGAATTGTATGTATGTATGTATTTATTTATTTATTTTGGTCTTTTGAGGCAGGGTCTCACTATGTAAGTAAGGCTGGCCTTGAACTTAACTATGTAGCCCAGGCTGGCCTCAAACTTGCAGCAATCCTCCTGCCTCAGCCTCCCAAGTGCTGGGATTACAGGCATGCATCACCATGCCCAGTTTGGGAATTGTCTTTAACCTGTTGAAAGAGTAAGGAATCAAAATGCTGGCTGAGTATGGAGTATGGAGGCACCTGCCTATAATCCCAGCATTCAGGAGGCTGAGGCAGGAAGATCATATCAAGTTCAAAGCCAGCCTGAACTTAAAAAAAAAAAAAAAAGAAAGAAAAAGAAAAAAAGAAAAGAAAAAGACAGTCCTAATTGACATGACTGATGGGTCACATGGTTAAGAAAAGAGCCAGATCTGCTTGCTGGCTGTGAGAGTTCCAGTCTGCAGTCTTCAACAGCATGGGTCAGACCAGCTCTGGGGATTTGCTAGCGTGGGTCTGAGACGCTACCAGACCAGAGGACCCATTTCCTCTAAACACTAAACCTGGCAGGGAGGGCGGGGTGTAGCCCACGGGAGCTTCAGGAGCCTGGGCTGGGCTACGGGATCCTGAGGGACGAGAGCATCGGGGTGAGAGTGGGAGTGGGGGCCAGCGGGGAGCTCGGGAGGTGAGGACTGCTTAAAGAGGAAAGTGGCCGGTTGGAAGGGTGTTGCTTCAGGCTGAATTGTTACCTCTGCTTTAGCACACTGCTGTTCTTTCAATCTCAAGTCCTGTGTGTCTGTCCCTCTGCCTGCCTGCCTCTCTCCTCCCTGTCTCTCTCTGTGTCACTTGTTTGTTGAGGAAATCCGGCTGAACTGTAGTGCATCCCACAGGTCTGCATCCTGCTCATACTACACTGTGGGTGTTCTTTGACGTGCACCTCTTTCCTTGCTTTCCCGATATTGGTAGTTGGTTCTATAAGCCTGATCAAGTTCAGATATTAATGTGTCAGAAACACTCCATAGAGCACTGACAGTGCAGCGGTGGAGAGCACTTGCCTTGCCTGTGCAAGGGCCTGGGTTGGATCCCTAGCACTGCAAAATAATAATAGTCCTAATAACGGTGCTGGTGATGATAATACTCCACAGTGACTTGACGTCCATCAGGAGGCACGTAGTGTTACCTTGTCTCTCTTCTTATAATGTTAGTAGCCTTTAGCAATCCCTTATTTCATTTGCCTGCTTCTTTTTTTTTTTTTTTTTTTTGGTTTTTTGGTACCAGGAATTGAACTCAGCTCCTCATGCTTGCCAGGCAGGCACTGTTCCACTGAGCTAAATTCCCAGCCTCCTTCTTTCATTGGGAATTACTAAATGGTGATATTTTATTTTATTTTAAATTTTAAATTTTTTTTTTCTTTTGTACCGGAAATCAAACTCAGGACCTTGAGGCAGACACTGTGCCAAAATTGAGCTATATCCCCAGTCCTTATTTTTTTATTTTATTTTTTGTTTGTTTGTTTGAGACAGGGTCTTGCTGTGTAGTTTAGGTTGGACTTGAACTCACTATGTTGCCCAGATGGCCTTGAACTCACAGTGATCCTCCTGCCTCAGCCTACCGAGTACTGGGATCACAGGTGTGCACCACACGGCGGTGATATTTAATTTCTGTCATTCCTCCTTCATTTATTAGTTGGAATAGTTCTATAAAGGGAACTCCCCTTTATCTACTATTTGGTTTCCCTGAGGTAAGAAATAGCACCATAGATGCTTAACTAAAACTCTGATTTTTTAATATTACTGTCTGAATTTCAGCTTGTATGACCCAGATCTCTGTGCCCCTTCTCTGGAGAGATCCTGTTCTGATAGGAAATCTCTATACATCTGTAAATCTCATAATAACTTTTTGAATGTACCCCGTTGCTCTTCTCTTACTCCCTCCTAGTGTGTCAGGGTTTGCACAGATCAGAGCCCTGGAGAGCACAGTAATACCTGAGTGAATCTCTAACTTGCCAATTAATGTTTCCCAATAATATCTTGGCCAGAAGCAGGAGCAAAAACCACATCCCTATCAGCTGAGAGTGGCTTTGTATCCTTGTTTTGGTAACGTGATCATAAAGCATCTTCATTTATCTACCCAGGTATTATTGTAAATCAAATATCATCAGTCTCTAGACTGATGAGACATGTAGTGTCAGATAAAAATCAGATGAGACGGGGTGGGGGGAGCCCAGTAGCAGAGCTATGGGACAATTAACACACGTGAAATTTGGGAGCCTGTCTCCCCAGGGGTGGAAGTGTTTTGGCCAGGGATAGCTGCAGAACAAGAGTGCAGCGGGGGACGAGGGCCCTCTGAAGTGACGGTCCAGGAATGTGCACTGGATTGATGTAGGTCCTGGAATAGTGTCTGACGAGGGGAGGCAGTTCAAGGGCATCTGACGGACGCCAGAGCTACATTATTCACAAAGATCTGTGAGGACCGTGATTCATACTCTGTGTCTAGGAGTGAGCTGAGTTAGGTGGAGGACCTGGGAGTAGCACAGAACTGGAGCCCAGCTTTGAGTTTGTCCACATCAGGTCCATTCACCACGCTAGGCCATCGTCTGAGAGTTGAATCAGATAAAGATCCCTTCTGGCTCTAGCAGTTTACAAACCTGAGCGGGGCATAGTGGCGCTTGCCTGTCATCCCAGCACTCAGGAGGCCAAGGCAGGAGGACTGCTGTGGGGTTGAGGCCCCAGTCTGGGCTACATACTGAGCTTAAGGCCAGCCTGAACTGCACAGTAAGACCCTGTCTCAAAAACAAAACAAGGCCAGGGATATAGCTCAGTGGCACAGCACCTGCCTGGCAAGCGCAAGGTCCTGAGTTCGATTTCCAGTACCAAAACAAAACATCCCACAAACCTGAGACCTCGGTTCCATCCCATGTAGGGGACAAGCACTTCCACATATGCACCTTCCTGCTCAGAGAGACGCAAGCTGGTGGCCTGGAGCCCTGTCCACTCCAGCAGTGGTGGAGGTTCTTGGAGGAGAGACAGGAACTCACAGGTGCTGTGGAAGTTCACCGACCTCCCCAGCTCCAGCCCCTCCTACTTTGTCAGGACACCGAGTCTTTCTCTACCTGTGTTTTTCATGTCCTATGTGTTCAGGTTGTGGATGCTGGGAGACGTTAGCTTTTGAAGGGCAAAGCTTCTGACTTTCCTTGTGGCTCTGCTACCCTGTCTTTCCTCCACACGCAGAGCCATGAGGCAGGAAGGTATTGAACCCAGGCCCCTGTGAATGCCAGGTGAGTGCTGCTGCCCATGCTGCACTCCAGTCCAAGCAGGGAATATTAAAGTGGCCTCTTCATGGCACTTTCCCTTTGTTTCTGCCCTGTGACTGGACACTTCTTGCGCATGTCCTCCCTCACTCCAAACTGGAGGTCACCTTCCATGCTCCTGGTGTCCCCTCTGTTTCCTCTCAAGCGATCCCTCAAACCTCTCCAGCTCCCCTGCCCATCTCTGATCCAAAACAACTGCGATCTCTCACCTAAACTCCTGCAGCAGCCTCCTAACTGATGTCAGTTTTAGTTTTGCTTTTGTTTGCATTCACAGAAGTCAGCAGGATCCTTTAAAATTCTACATCAGGGCTGGGACGTAGCGCAGTGGGAGAGTGCTTCCCAGCACGGGTAAGTTCGATCCCAGCACCACAAACAAAGCAAAACCCTAAATCTAGTTACATCATCTCCCTGCTCCTATAAGCAGCTTCCTATCACTTTTTAAATGAAGACTCAACTCTGACCTGGGAACCCCTGGGTTTGGTTCCCTCCTGCTTCTAGCCGCTTCCCGTGTCACCCGGCCTGTCCCCCACAAAGCATACCTGAGTCCTCTGCTTCTTGGTCACACCCGGGTTGTGCATACCGTAGAGTCTTGGTACTAGTAGTTCTTTCTGCTACAAATGTTGCTCTCCCAGATCTTTTTTTTTTTTTTTTTTTTTTTTTTTTTTGGTACTGGGAATTGAACTCAGGACCTTATGCTTGCCAGGGAGGCGCTTATGCCACTGAGCTATATTCCCACCCTCGCCCAGATCTTTTTGGAAGCAAATTACAGGCACGCACCACCAAACCTGGCTCTTGTTTTGTTTCTTTCATGGTAGGTGCTCAGTAAAAGCTTATTGTTGCCCAGTGCTGTAATCCCAGCACTCAGGAGGGTGAGACAGGAGGATACACAAGGTCAAAACTAGATTGAGCTACATAATGAATTCAAAACCAGCTTGAGCTACAAAGTTAGACTCTGTCTCAAAAAAAAAAAAATCTTCTTAGATGAAGGAATGAGTACGTGCTCAGAGGCAAGGAGCTTATTGTGCTGGGACTCATCAGAGTGAGATAAAGCTAGACGAGTGAACGAGGGTCCCACGGAAGAGGTGGGTAACCACCAAACCAAGGACTTTGGATCTTCTGTTAGGGGACTGGATGTCGCTGACTGCTAGTGGTTTTCCAAAAGGCATGAGCAGCGCCGGAAGAAGGTCGACTTGGCAGGTCTGTGTAGGTGACAGCAAGGAGAGGAGGTGACGGCTTTGAGACGACACTTGGCGGAAAGGGCTCAGCGTGTCTGGCACGCAGTGTCTCCCACCAGGGGCTGCCTCCACCAAGCACTGTGGCAGGCACGGGGACCGCAGGACAAAACAGACATTGTTAAACCATCTTCCGCCTCAAAACAGTCCTTCCCAGGCCCATCTTCGCATCCTTCACTTCCCGTTTCATCCAACTTGCACTCACACAGGCTGTTCGCAGGGCCACTGTGTCGGGCGACCCGTGCCCAGCACGCCCCATAACTGGACTCTCAAAGGTCTATGATTTCCACATCTGACGGCCTCGTGTTTGTCTTCTTCCCGTCACACCTCTTCTTTGTTTGTTGCTATTGGCAGAGTTTCTTCTTGGAGTTCTTTTTCCTTGATGATGTCGCGCTGTTCTCCCGCATTTCTGGATACTCCTTCTCAACTCCCTTTCCTGGCTCCTCCTCTTCCTCCCCTTTGTCTCTGGTCTTCTCCAGACTCTGGCCCTTGCTGTCTCTCTACGTCCTTTCTTTCTTGTTCTTCACACAACCTTGCAGCATCAGTCATTATGCTCAGGGTGCAGGTCTGGCCTGACCTTTCTGAACGTCAGCCCCACTAGCCTCATGCTCAGTAGACGTAGCCCACCGGGGACTCGTTGCCCGCGAGCCTGCACCTGCAAGCTCCCCTCAGCTTCTCCTCCCGCAGCGGCCCTCCTGGATTGCTCTTTTTACGAATCACTCCCCAACCTCTTACACATTCTTGCCAGAAATCTCCTGGCCAGCTTGACTCTCTTCTGTTTCCTGTATTTCTCTGCTAGATAACCCAGTCTCTGCTTCTCTACTGCCACTTTTTAAAAAATTAATCATGAGCTGAGCATGGTGGTACATGCCTGTAATCCCAGCACTCAGGAGGCTGAGGCAGGAGGATCGCAGTGAGTTCGTAGCCTGCCTGGGCTACATAAGCAAGTTCAAGGCCAGCCTGCATTACATAGTGAGACCCTTTCTCAAAAAACGAAAAAACGAAACAAATCATATCATGGAAGCACATGTGCTTATTGTAAAGACTTCAAAAAAAATTCAGACACATCCAAAGTGAAAGTATGGAAATGGTCCACCCCTCCTCTGTACTCCGCGATGTTGCCACCTGGGTTTCTGCCCTGTTGGCCCTGGGTGCCAAGTCGTGTTTCACTCCTCTTTTCCAGCTGCACTGCCATGGGACTTCAGGACAGTTTCCCCACAGTCTGCATTTCCTTTCACTTCAGCTCACCGGACATTAACTGAGAGCCTTCCTCACACTGGTCCCACACCAGACCTGCAAGAGGGCCATGTTTCAAAGCTGTTTAACTTCAGGCAGATTACTTCACCTCGCTGACCCTTCCTTGTTTGTCTGTAAAACGAGGGTAATCGCAGTCCCTTCTTCATAGAGTGGGACTAGGATTAACGAGGTAACACATGTAAAACTCTTTGCACAGCACCTGGTATCTTGTATCTGCCCCGTAAATGTCAAGGACAACAATAATTATGATAAGATTTGCCTTGGAGGAAGTTGTAGTTTAATGCGGGACTTGAACAAGAGTTATCTAGGTAGGGCTGGGGATATAGCTCAGCAGCATAAGTGCCTGCCTGGCAAGCACAAGGTCCTGAGTTCGATTCCCGGTAACAAAAAAAAACAAAAAAACAAAAAAAGAGTTATCTAGGTAAAGAAAGATAGGCAAATATTTGGGAAAAAGGAGAGGAGCAGTTTAACTAAAATTAAAAGGCTGAGTTAGGGAGTTAGGAGACTAAGTTACAGTTTAGACTTATCCACTAAAACGTAGTGGTGTTGACATATGCCTATAATCCCAGCCTCCTTCGAGGCTGAGGCAGGAGGACTGCAAGTTCCAGCCCAGCCTGGGTAATTTAGGGACTTAGTGAGACCCTGTCTCAAAATAAAACATGAAAAAGGTCTGGAAAAAAAAAAGTCTGGAAGTGTAGCTTAGTTGGAAGGCCCTGGATTCAATCCCCACTAGTGTAAAAAAAAAAAACAAAAAACCACAATATAACCTTCCCTCCCCCTTATGCATTTCTCTCCCTCTTCCTCTTTCTTTCTTTCTTTCTTTTTCTTTCTTTCTTTCTTTCTTTCTTTCTTTCTTTCTTTCTTTCTTTCTTTCTTTCTTTCTTTCTTTCTTTCTTTCTTTTCATTTCTTTTCATTCTTTCATTCTTTCTTCCTTCCTTTCTTCCTTTCTTCTCTTTGGAGGCAGGGTTTCACTGTATGTAGGTAGTACAGGCGGGCCTCAAATTACAAGTGCTCTACCACTGAGCCACACTCTCAGCCCCTTGTGCATATCAATTTGTGCACATAAATGTCCATAGGGTCACAGGCCTCCACCGATGTGTAAAGAGCTGAACTCAGGCCTGCTGCCTGCTGGCGGGGGGGCGGGAGGTGCGTTGTGACATTAATAATACTCATATGAGGAGATTTCATTTCTCCAAAAAAAAAATTATTTCCACATTTTAGATCATTTCCACAGTGTGAACAGTTTTACAGCTCTAGTTCTGTCTGCCAAGTGTTTTCTAAGTGAATTGTACCAATTCACAATGTTATCAGCAATGAATGACTACCAGTCTCACCCCGCCCTCATTCTTGAAAAACAGTTTTGCCAGGGCTGGGGATTTAGCTCAGGGGCAAAGCGCCTGGCTGGCAAGTGCAAGGTCGTGAGTTCGATTCCTGGTACTGGAAGAAAAACAAAAACACAAATAAAAAAAAACAGTTTTGCCAATTTACTAGGCACAACTCTTACATGTTGTTTTAATTTGTATCTCTCTGATTGCTTGTGGGCTGGACATTTTTCATATGGTAGCTTCTCTATGTTTCTCCTGTCTTTAGTCAATTCTGTCCTCTGAGCAGGATTGGGAATGGAAACCTTGACCATTTTATCTTGAGGAAGACATCCCATTTTTCCTGCTCTCTTCTGTCTCCCTCTGTGCTTTGTGATTATTATTATCATTATTATTATTATTATTCCCTAAGCTAACATGAGCATCTTTGCTTAGTATCAGGAAATATAATTAAGCAAAGAGTCAAATTGCCAGTATCTCACATTTGTTTTTTTGTTTTGTAGTCTTTTTTTTTTTTTGGTCTTTTTGAGACAGGGTCCCGCTATGCAGTTCAGGCTGGCCTTGAGCTCACTTTGCAGCCCAGGCTGGCCTCGAACTCGCAACAATCCTCCTGCCTCAGCCTCTTGAGTGCTAGAATTACAGGAGTGTGCCACCACACCCAGCAGTCACTATCTTTTTTTTTTTTTGGTAGTCTTAAAAATGCCTTCTCTGCCCACAGTATCCACAGATATATCATCTACTTTTTGTGAGTCTGTTTCCTCATCTATAACATAGGAATAGTTGTCCTTCAAGTTGACAATTAAATGAGTGAGTTTCATAAAGTGCAGGGTGTTATTCAAATATACAAATTGCTGCTCTTAGGACAAAAATATTTCCCTTTATTCTGCCAAACAGAATGATGATACTCTATTCCCTAAACACAGCCTGCCTTCAGAAGGGCAGTTTCTTCTCCCTGAATGACCTCACGTCTCTTCCTCCATTCCTTCTGCTGAGCTACCTATCCATTCCTCTGTGTGTGTGTGTGTGTGTGTGTGTGTGTGTGTGTGCACGCGCACGCACACACTGGAGAGTGAACCCAGCACCTTGCACATGCTAGGCCAGCCCTCTACCACAGAGCCACATCTCCAGCACCCCTCACCTAATCTAGCATTTTTTCACTGATTAAAATATACTTTTAGGCTGAGCATGGTGGTGCAGGCCTGTACTCCCAGCAGTGGGGAGGGTGGGGCAGGAGTATTGATGTGAGTTTGAGGCCAGCCTGAATTGCATAGTGAGACCCTGCCTTAAAAAGAATTAAAATAAAAAAATAAATAAGATATATTTTTAAAAGTGTAATGACTAGTGCAAAGGACTGGGGGATGTAGCTCTGCGACAGAGTACTTGCCTGGTATGTACAAGGTCTTGGGTTCAATTCTCAGCACTACAGAGAACAAAAATGAATGTAAAGAACAACCATATACCTGCTACACAGCTTGAGAAATAAAATCTCCTGGATACAGGTAAAGCCACAGATTCTGTTCTCCTGAGTTTGATATTTCTTATTCCTATGTCTTTACATTTATTGATGTGCTTATTTGTTCTCTCTGTCTCTCTCCCCCTGTATGTATGCATATGTGTGTTATGCATATGTATATAATATTTGTATATGGGGCTGGGGCATAGCTCAGTGACACAGCGCCTGCCTGACGAGCGCAAGGTCATGAGTTCGATTCCTGGTACTGGAAGAAAAACAAACAAACAAACAAAAAATATTTGTATATATAAAATATATACACATTTGTAGTACTGGGGATTGAACTCGGCTACATCACTAGCCTCTGCCCAGGCTGGGCTTGAACTTGTGATTCTCCTATAATCCAGAGTGCTGGATTACAGTCATGTGCCACCACACCCAGCTATAAAACAAGTTTTATGAATGCATGTCTCTCTCATGTGCTACATGTGTATATATCAAAGCTGTGTTTAGGTGGACATCCCTAAGTGCATTATAACATTGGTTTGCATACATGTTTTTAGACTTCAAGTGAGTGATACAAAGCTCTGGAGGTGAATTCACTTTTCCCCTTTGGGCTCACGTCTGATCTGTGTGGAGATGTAGTCAGGCTCCATTTATGTCCTTGTTTTAACACTCAGTATACAATCACGCTGCACCCTGCTTTCCTGCTGGTGTGGTTTTTGTTTTTATTTTTATTTTTTTGTGTTTTTTTTTCTTTTTGAGACAGGTCTCTCTATCTCCCAATGTAGCCCAGGCTGGCCTTTAACTCATGACAATTCTCCTGCCTCGGCCTCCTGAGTGCTGGCTTACAGGTGTGTGCCACTACACTTGGCTCTTTGGTCATTTTGTTTTCGCCATGCAGGTATTGGTGCTGTGAACATTTGCTCTGTCTCCTGTGGACATGTATGTAGGAGTTTTTCTAAGAGTGGAATCTGGAGGTCATGGCCTGTGTCTCTAATTAGACATTGCCCAACTATCCTTCAAAGTGGTTCCTCCTGTCCATCCTCACCAGAAACATATGCATATTCCCATCACTCTTCTCCTTGTGAACCTTTGGTTTTGTCAGACTTTAAAACTTTTCCAATTTGGTGGGTGTGAAACAACACTGCATGATGGATTTAATATCCATTTCTCTGATTACTGAGGAAAGTGATCAACTTTACAAGTTTATTTGTTGTTCATAGCACCCCTTCATGGAATTCGTATTCATGAAGGTCCCATTCTTTCTTTCTTTTTTCAAGACAGGGTCTCACTATGTAGTTCAGGCTGACTTTTAACTCAGGACCCCCCTGCCTCAACCTCCCAAGTGCTGGACCACAACTGGCTTAAAGTGCCCATTCTTTAAGTCTGCTTTAAAATACTTCACTCTTGGGCTGAGGGATGTAGCTCAGTGGTAGAGTACTCATCTAGCACGTGTGAGACCCTACGTTTGAATCCAGTTCTGCGAAGAAAAAAACCCCTCCCTGTCCATAAAATATTTCCAGATCTCCATCAAACAGATAGGATTTTTTTTTTTTTTTTGAAACTGGTGATTGAATCCAGGGCCTTTGCCCTGAGCTATATCCCCAGCTCTAATTTAATTTTTTAAAAATTTAATTTAATGAAAAAAATTTAATTTAATGTTAAGACAGGGTCTTACTAAATTGCCGAACTTGTGACCCTCCTGCCTCAGCCTCCCATAGTGCTGGGATTACAGACAAGCACCACCATGTATGGCTTAGGCGTGATCTTTTTTGACCTCTTACAGTCCTCTCTCCATTTGGGCTCTGTTTACTTTTCATTTCGCCTGGCATTACAGTCATTTATAAACTTGTCTGCAGGGCAGGGGCTATGTTTATACCCTTGTTAGCCCTAGTACAAGGTAAACATTACATAAACCTTTGTTGAATATAATCACAGTCCTCCCCTGCTTATAAAGTTTCAAAACATCTTGCCATTGTCTACAGAAGGGAATGGGATTGCCTTTCATGTTGACTCTAAGACCTTTACGGGGCTCAGCGTCAACCGTCTTTTACTGGGGTATCCCTGCCTCCTGCCCCTGAATCCGGACTCTTTCGTCTGCACTCAGAACTTTCCCAGTCCGGAAAGGTCTGGCTTCTCTCTGCAGCCAGGGAGGCAGGTGGATCCCATGAGTGTTAGCTGCCTGTCAGGTTCCTTGAGAGGCGACCAGAGGACTCTTGAGGCAGAGGCTTGCTTTGATTGATCCTGAATATGTCCTTTATGTGCAGATGACGTGGGGATGCCACCTCTTGAGGACCCCACAGTGACCAGTGGAGACAGATGTGCAGACACATAGTTTTTGGTACAAAGGACTGTAAGGGAAGAGAGACTTGGAGAGTCAAGGCAGGCTTCCTGGAGGAATCTTAGGCCAGTTAGTGCCTGAATGAGCAGCCCTGACCTTGAAACAGTGTTGTTTAACCTTCACATGTGAATGATCACATAGGACAAGAGGCTTTTTTTTAGTACTGGGGCTTGAACTCAGACCCTCAGGATGCCTGCTAGGCAAGCCCTCTGCCGCGGAGCCACACCGCCAGCCCTTTTTATTTTATTCTGAGCCGATGTGTTATTCAGTTGCCTAGGCTGGGCTCAATGTGGGGTCCTCCTGCCTCAGTCTTTCCAGTAGCTGGGGTTATAGGCGTGTGCCACCACACTGGCATGACGTTAGACATTCTGACGCAGAGGGTATTGCCAGCGATGCCGCTGAACTGAACAATCCAGAGCACTCTGTACTGTGAGGAGAGTTAGAACCTGGCCATTCTTCCATCAGATTGGACGGGTGTCAGTTACC